GGCGGAGTGTGGCGTTGATTGAAGAGTTGATCGGAGTTTGTGATGCGGTGACAGTGGCGGCGGTGGACGACGGAGGTCGAGATATGTGTGGTGTGTGTTCGTCTCCATCGCGGTGGAGAAGAAGCTGGCGGTGACGGCTCCTTCGAGAGCGGTGGCGAGTGGTGGTTCGGCTACCGGCGAACAACCGTTTGGGCTCTCAGAGGTGACGACGCGTCGGTGACTATGGGAAGTATATGGACGGGATGACAGAGAGAAAATGCAGATGTGTGTTGGTTTATTAGGCGTGGGGCCCACTGCTATAATTTAGATGGGTTGGTACGTGGTGGATTATTATTATGTGAGGCCCACATATAGAATAGTTATGGTAAATGAGGATGTGTAGAATATCCATATTACTTATCAATATGTGTATTTTTTGTAGCTGTTGGATGGTTAAGAGTTATTCTTGTTTCTTTCATTGAGCATCATTTTTATTTGGAGCGCGATCTCTATATATATATTTCTTTTTTTTTTAAAAAAAAAAAAGGCATGAAAGATGTATTGATATTGAATGTGTACAAAACTAAAATGAAAATGAAAGATATATAAGTTAACAAATATACCACTATAAAATTTCCTTTTTTTTTTGTTGATAAATTTATATAGGTTTAGAAATATATATTTCTATTTATATTGTTGCAAAACAATATTAACTTTGTGCCAGGTGCGCGACCCGGGTCGACCAACGGATTAGTCGGGGCATAACTTCGAATACCGTGGCTGGCTACAAAAAAAAACAAATTCATGAAATATATATGCAATGCATGATTTTTTCTGTCAATCACATATTCATTGTACTAGGCTAAAAATAGGATGTGGAGCTTGAGAATTGGCTCGAAAAGCAGACGATCGATCGATCGATCACACACGGCACAAGTGAACCAATTATATAAGTTGGATCAGAACCACGAGCAAATGTTCTTCTTCTCTCCATGCCAAGTACAAGCATATATAATGAATGGCGTAACTAAAAGTCTTCCCTTCATTCATTTCATTGTTCTGGCAAAGAGTACATAAAGCCATGTGTTCTGAATACTGGGGAATGTCTTGGCACTACAAATGTTTCATCATTGCTGCTTAATTCTCATACACACATGATCGAACATTGATATAAAATTGAACGATATAATTGTAGTTAAACGTTTGTATTAATTTTTTTTTTTTTTTGGTACAGGGACTTTCCGGTTTTCGGATCCACAGGGGAACCGACTAATTCGAAATCAAGCCGGGTAGGACCACAAGGGCGGCAAAGCTCTCCCTCAAGAGTTTTAACACTGCTGCATTCCCAAGGTTCGAACACGAGACCACTGGTTAAGCTGGAAGAGACCCAAGCCATCTTATCCAAGCGCTCTTGGGTTACGTTTGTATTAATTAGTTTGTTGTTATTTGGTCTTCTTGGCCTTGACCAATATTGGTGCTTGATTGTCCAGAGACAACTAATCTTCCACTTTGATAATTAAGGCAAGCAAACATTATTAGATGTTACTTATTTTTGCCTCACGCTGGAATTTTAATAAATCATTTTACTAAAATAGGTCTTTGTGCTTGGTGTAAAATCACACATGAACTAGAAGGTCTCGAATTATTACTCCCCATGTGAACAAAAAATTTAGATTTTGATACCACCTACACCCTTAACACATTACCAATATTTCATTCCACAAAGAAATATTATTGAACTTCTTTATTAAAACCCGAATTACATTTAATTCATGTAGAGATTTATTCACTCGATTTAATACTCCTTACTTAAGATGTAACGTCATTAATTAATTTAACTAATAACAATATAATTTATTAACTTTTTGTAACAAAAGTGGTACCACTCAATTTTTAAATTAGCAAGAACTTAATCCGCCTTCAAGTCTTGACATAATAAATTGTTCGAGCTCATTTCGGGTTCTCTATCAGCCATACACGTCGGAACACAATGACTCTTAATAATTTCAACATAACATAAGATAATATTTATTACAAAATTTATTGACCTGGTAACTTGATCTCGTTTTTTGGTAAATTAGAGTAATATATATTAAATGCACACAACCATTCGTTGTCTTACAACTTAAGTGTATGAGCAATAACAGATATCTAAATTATTTACTTCTTCAGTATAAAACAATATTATCCTCGGTGGCGTGTTCAATATATCCAAGATGAACTAGTTTAATTGAAATAACACTTTTGACTGAACATGATTCTCATTAAAAAAGATATACTGAAAAGAAACGTCTATAAATAAAGTCAGGCGTTTAGTATACAAACTAACATCTCGAGCCCCATGTTTCCACCCAATTTTACACCTTCATTAGGGATTTGCATGACCTACTGTTTCAGTGCCTGATCGTGGGGGAAATAGAGACGATGGAGGAAATTCGGGCGGTGAATCCACATTTGTTTGCTAAATTTCATTTTTAGTACATTATGTTGGTCATTTTCTAAAAAATGTTCATCATATAGTACTAAAAGTGATTACACTTTTTATGCACTATGTTAGTTGTTGTATAAATTTTGATTAAAGTGCCAACTTAGTAAACCATTTTATATGACGCCCTATATGATGGACAGTTTTTAGAAAATGACCAACATATTGGACTATTTTTGAAATTTTGTCCACGTTCGTTGATATCAACCTGACATTTAATTTGGAAGGACTAGAATGAGGATAGGACCATCAATTTCCATGGATTCTTCCTATCGACTAGTTGGTTCGCCACCGTGAGATCGATAAAATTTGATGCAAGAAAAATAATACGTAAAAGAAAAAATAGAGAAAAAAAAGATGGGAATCCAATAAAGTCACCACCGGGGTAACCATTGATGAGGACGAGAATCTACGCCATCGGCGTAGATGGTGGTGAATCGCAACAGCACCACCCAATCATCAGCGACGTCGAGGCGTACGCCTCCTTATACGCCATCCATGGAGTCTCTCTTTAGCCTAAAGCCAATTTCTAGATTAAGACCTTCATTTTTCGTACATTTGAAGGAGAAAGAAAGAGATAGGTAGGAAGGACAGAGAGGGAATTGACGGGTTTTATATATTTATTGTGCGAATAAAAATAGACTTAGTATAAGAACCGGGAGAAGAGGGTGCGGTCCCACTAGATGAAGCGTACCATAAAAGGTGAGCCTAGATGCACCTTAGTGAGGTTTCATCCTAAAACCAATTGGTGATGGGAGGAGTAACCCACTAGGCTTATAAACTATGCTCAGGACAACTCACAAGTGATATTCCAACACTTAATTCAGTTGAAATAAAAATAATTCTAATTGTGCATGAGGTAATTTTCTGAACTATTTTCTCAACTATTAGTGTCTTGAACTAATTGAATCAAATCCCATTAACCAAACTGAACCTTCATACACTTAAATTATAGGGTCCCACCACAAGGTAAATAAAACATCTATAAAAAGAAATGGAAGGCGCACACACAAATACCTCTTAATATGCAACTTTCCACCCATCACAAAAATTATAAACATCAAATTAATCCCATTTTTTCTTATACTACACACTGTATTACGAAGCTGTTGTCTTCTTGTGTAGCCCGAATTTGTATAATCATTGTTTATTTAAATTCTGATTTAAGCATTATATATAGGGCAATATTTCTTTTA